TGTCGCACGATCAGACCGTCCCTCGCCCTCGCGATTGGACGTAAGCTACCATTTCTGCCGAGACCGAAACGGACTGATTGGATGCAAACACCAAAGCGATGAGTGTTGACGATTAAATATTTACATTTAGGTACGCAAACCCTGTCGTATCTATTGCAAATCGGGCACAGCAACCACTTTTTTTTCTAAGAGCTCTGCGATGTTATTTTCCACACACTTTATCAAAGTAGAGACGATTTTATTATCATTATTGTTATTTTCTAATTAAAGTAGGCTTCACGACATTTGCGTTTGGTGGTCTTTTTAGTCACTTTTGTTGCATTTAAGTATGCATTTGTTTGTAAATCTCAAAATAGTACTATTATAGAAATAGCAAAATACTAAATAATAAAGCAGTTTACTATTTTGTTTTATATTAGTACCAGCCTTATATAACCGTGCTATTGGCTAATATTTTGACGCACGTAATTGGTTAAACAAATATAATTTGCTAGCTTACTCACAGCTTACAGGCCCACGTGCAAGGCCAATATTGACCTGCTTCTGCTGAGTCGACAGCGTCTCCGAACGTCCCAAAAGCGGTTCAGTCCTGGGAGGAAGAGCCCCCCCCCACCTGATTCGACCGAAGTGTGCCGCCAGGAAAGCCTGGCGACCGTCGAGAAGGCGATGGGTCCTGACTGGTACCCCAAGAAGAAAAAGAGGCGCAGTCGCCCTCACAAGCTGACCACCCGAAACGCCAATTACATCGAGCAAAAGAAGTAGCAGAAGAGCAAGTAATTTGGATAATATATCCTTATAGTTACCCCGCTTATCTTTGTATTTTGTATACTGGCGGGCAGCGCGAGGCTTGGGGCCGCACATATGGTAAACTAACTATGGTACTGCCAATTGTGTTGACGCACCTACATAGAGTAGCGCGTTTCATATAATAATTAGTGCATGGTATCTACTGTGTACTCTTGCAAGCTGGCCGTCCCTATCTGCATACGCGTTACCGTAGATGGAAAGTACACTCGCTCACTTGGCACACGCAAACCCATGCTATCTGTACCGTCAACGCTCACAGCGTATATTTCACTAATGTGCGCTCACGAATATAAACTACAGTATTAATTGAGCACTATGCGCGACGAGTAAGTTGCTGTCTACATCGACAAAGCACGTCTGCAGTAGTGATGACCATACAGGTGGGTGTCGCAAGTCGATGAGGCTGTAC